TTTGCATTTCTGGAACACCATCCTTACTCAGGGAGAGGCAACCTGGGGCACGTTCAGCAGTGTTCTGCTTCCCCAGGAGGTAGGGTGTCACCAGGCCCCACTCTTGTGGTTGTCCCACGAGAGACAGGCCCTAGGTCTGAACCATCTGAGTCTGGAGAAGTGTCCCTAGTTAGGTGGGTGGGTTTATGGTTGCAAAGCTGCCCTCAGCGCAACCTGGGGCAGAGGAGCAGGTGAGGTTGGGGAGGCACCGGAGACAGCCCAGAGTGGTATCCAGAGAAGTGTCTTGGTGTTGACACCTTCCTTCCCTCAGCAGTGTTCATGGGGCCCCACTGTGTCCCAGGCCCTGGGGTAGTAGTACTGAACAAAACAAGAAAGGCATACCTCCAGAATTACAACATGGTGGAGGGGCCCTGAAGGACCAGTCCAGGGGGCTGGGGGAATATGGCAGGTGGCCTCCTAAGGAGGTGGCAGGAGGCTGGGCCCTGAAAGGTGAGAGGAGTTAGTTGAGGAGGGGTGAGAAGACCCCTGGCAAAGGGAGTCTGGGAAGTGGTGGCAGGGAAGGGTGGGTTGAGGAGGCCCTGTCAGGCAGCTGGGTCAGTGTGTTAGGGCCCATAGGCCGTGAGAAGCAAAAAAAGGACCTCACCAGGGGTGTCATGCTCTAGTGAGCATTTGGGGCAGCTCTCTGGCAGCTTGAGAGAACAAGGCTTGAACCCCTCATTCTGACCCTTGGCCTCCACTTTCTCCATCTGTAAAAGACTCCCTCCAGCATTGTCCACCCACCTGCTTAGGCTCCTGTCTCTCAGGCCTCAGTTGTCTCCACAAGAAAAGTGGGAACAGTTGGGTTGGCAGTTGGGGCAGGGCAGCCAATGAGAGGCCCTGAAGGCCCTGGCCCAAGCTCTGCCCTCACCAGCACCAATCCCGGTCAGGGACAACACACAGCAACAACCACCCCCTCCTCTGCCTTTGAGAAAAAGCCAGCCAGAGTCTCAGCTACAGAAGGTGTGGCCCTCCCTGGGGCCTTGTTTAGACAGAACTTGGGGAGAGAGAGCACCTGCCCCAGCCAGAGGTCCTTCAGCAAAGTCCCCAGTCCAGGCGGGGGTCTTGGGGTCCTAGTGAGTAAGTGCTTGCCCTCTGTCCCACATGGGCCCTGAAGCTTTGTTTGTTGTCCATCAGGCTGTATTAGCAACAAGGGGCCTGGATTCTCTTCCCAGAGAACATCCTGTTATGAGGTTTATAAACTGTCTCACCCTGAATCCAGGCCCTCTACCTGCAGGGGGTGGAAACACTTGACGACATAGCCTCTCATCAGCCCAGCGTTCCAGGTGCTTCTCTGGAGGCCCTACCTGCTCTCACTCTAGGCAACATGCCCTGCTAGCCTTACAGGGTCATCTGTTTCCAGCAGGACCCAACACTTAGAAAGGCTGAGTGAGTAACTGAGAGGAGAGGGTACAGCCAGGATCTGGGAAGCTCAGGTTCTCTCGTTCATCCATTCCCTGGGAAGCTCCTTCCCTGTCCAAGGCCACAGGGTGTGACTGGCAAGATGACAATTAAAGATTGGGGACCTGGCATTCACCTGCATACATTCACTTCTGCCCCATTCACCTGCATGCATTCACTTCTGCCCCTTCCCACCAGAGGGCCTTTGTTGACTTCTCCCTTTGGCTGGAGCACTCTTTCCACCCCCAGCCCTGCCTGCACCCCTGCACCCTCCCAAATGCCAGGTCCTTTATCCAAAGTCCCCTGCCAGAGCTGCTCACACCTGTTCACATTCCCAGGGGTTTCCTCAGTCCTCTGCTCATTGGGGTCTGGTGAACACCAACTCTTCCCTTCTCCCACTTCCCTCCCGAGTTCCTCAGTCATTTCTATGGTTTCACTGCCTGGAATGGGACGTGACACCAGTCAGTGCTCAGTTAATCTGTGTCTATTGACAATGACAACACACACTATGTACTGGACACTGTGTTAAGTGCTTTATACGTGAAAACTCTCACAACGGCCCAATGAGGCAGGTGTTTTTATTGCTCTCATTATTACCAAGGCAGCAAGAGGTTGAGAGAAATGCCCAAGGTCCCCCAGCCAGCGTACAGCCAAGCCAGATTCCAGCCCAAGCAGCCGGGCTTCAGGGTCCACGCTGATAACTCATCTGCTGTGCTGCCGCCTGGGGAGTGATGTGGAATCCACGAACTGGACACCTTTGCCGTTGCTGGGAGAGAACGCCTGCCTGAACAAGCAGCTTGATTGCTCCTCAAGCCCACCAAATTAAGGCCCATTTTCGTTAGTGTGGCCTTTCCCATCCCTTTCCACCCTCCTGGACGCAGGTCTCCCACCCATTCTACTTGACCCCAGTGGGTTGTGATCTTGAGCTCAGGGATTTCAGGTTCCTGCCTTTTTCTAATTCCCTTGGGCTTTGCCTTTCCTCAAAGTCTCCACCCCTCGCCCACAAATGTTTGCAGAATGATTGCTTTGTTTCATAGACCTCCCTAAGACATGCACAGCTTCTTGGAGACCCTTGGGCATTTCCCTCCTCCAAGCCTGAGTTTCCTGCTCTGGGAAATGGGCCGACTCCCTGACATCACGTGGTGCAACGTTTGGAAGGGATTCTGACTTGATGCAGAACAGACATTGTGTCAACAACAGTCTATTGTAATCTTGGTACTGTTCATATGCTTGTCCCAGACTGCCAGGTGACTGCCCAGGTGACTTGGCGTGTGCTCCTTGCCCCTTGAAGCAGTTTTCTCTAGTCCTGGGAACAGCATGGGATAAGCTGGCAGGTTCCTGGGAGCTGGGATGGACTAGAGGTTCTGTTGCCACCTGATAGTGGGTGGAGGAGACTCGTCAAAGTCTCTTTTTTGTTACAAACAGTAGGACAGGCTCTGTCCCACCCCTTCTGGCTCCCTGAGCTGTGCTGTGAGGGCAGGAGGGTGGGGTGGGTGAATGGGGGGGGTCAGCTGGCAACCTCTGCCAACTACAGCTAACAAGTGGCAGCTCGCGCCCGTCCCGCCCCCTGCAACTGGACCAGGGCAGGCTGAGGTGACCCTGGATGGGGGCAGCCAATGAACTCCCGAGCTGTGGTGGCACCACCGGGCAGCCCGCCTGTCTTTGGCTGGCGCGGCAGCGGGAGGGGCCTCGGCCCGCCAGTCAGGGCCGCCAGCTCTGTCTCTGGGAGCCCAGGCAGATCTGCCGCTCCATTCACTAGAAGTCCTACTTGGGCTACCACATTTTTAACTTTTCCTGCCTCCCGGGGGAGGAAGGTGTGCAGTGGGGGTGGCATGCTTGTTCCCACAAGGTACACCCTAGGCCTGGCAGGGAGCGGCTCCAGGCTGGAGAGAGGGATTCTGAATCTGTTCTGCTCATACCAACGGACTCCTCAGGTGCAGAGGAAGCCAGACAGACAGACGGAGTAGGAACAGGGGAAAGCAGAGGCTGGTGGTCGTGGTCCAGGTTGCCATGAGGACTGGGGTCAAGGATCCCAGATTCTGTCCTACTCAGGTCTTGTCCCATAGGCACCCAAGTCCCTTACCCTTGGACCCCATGGGCTCAGCACTAGAATAACACCTGAGACTGAAGTGGCCGTCAGCTAGGGCAAGGGAAAATTTGGACTTGTCACCAAAACCTTCCCATCACACGGGCTGGCCAGTGTATCAACAGGTGCTTATGCGCCCCCTACCCCTCATTTCAGCACCCCCCCCCCGACTCAATGCAGACCCACCACAGCCAATCACATAATAAACATATATTTATAGATGTACAATTTCAGAATTCTAATTCCAGAAGTACAGCTTCTCAGGGGATCCATTAGGATCTATGTTCTTATTGCACACAGCTCAGCCCATCTAGGATATTTACCTAGATCCGACGGTCAGGGTGGTGGGGGCAGAGCACCAGGGCCACCATAAGGTGGCACTCATGCCCTCGCCCAGTTGTTATCAGCTCTCCGGGCCCTTCATCACAAGACAGGACCTTGTTTTAAAAACAGATTTGACATTTCCTTACCAAGCTTCCTTTCCCATCAAGAATCTTCTTTGTTGGGGGATTTAAAAAAAAAAAAGAGCCTAGAGAAACTGGGAGGCTAGTTCACACCTCCTGGCTGGCAGCTTGGGGAAGTAAGGCTTTGGAAGATGGCAGGCTCAATGACACACTCACCACCAGAGGAAAATTTGGGAAAAATGGTAATTCTAAAAGGCCCAGTATAAACCATAGGGATAAACAAAACCTCCCTCCCTTCCCCTGGCAGCAACTGCTATTCTGAGAAAAATCCTCATTGAAGGTGAGAATAAGAAAACCATTTTGGTCCAGGTATAGCCTTCATCCATGTGCAAGAGAAGGCCCCAGGGAGTCACATCTATGGAGGGTAAAGCCAGAGGTGCCCACAGGCATTTCATTTTCTTCAGGAAGGACTTAGGCTGCTGCCCTGGGGCCCTGGGCAGCACCTGGCTGATGTGTGGAGGATCGGCCTTCTGGAGTCCTTGGTGCAGACTTAGAAAAAAACCACTGGTGACATGGATTTGTGCCTGGGGCACCTATAAGGCAAAACCCACTTAGGGACCAGGGGTGGGGAAGGTAGCCGGGCAGAGCCTGGTCTCCCTTTCTGGAACCTGCTGTTCTCTGTTGGCAGAGGTTTGGAGGGCTCTTGGAACCCAGGGCAAAGAGTCCACCTGAGCGTGCCAAAGGAGACGGGCAGCCTGAGGTGGTCTCACCCCAGCAGGTTCTGTCTGTGGCCTCTACCATGACCAAACACTGACCTGTCTCTAGGGGCACGTTTCTTCCCCCATAGCCCGCTTCCTCCATCTTGCCTATAAACCTGGTAGCCTTCAAAGTTTTCACTGAATTTTTACTATCATGATTACCGCTGCCTTCGAAAACAGGCTGGGGCTGGGGCAACGTTCTTTGACCTGATTTTCTTATGCTGTCAGCTGTGGCTAAGCTGGGCTTTTGAAGGACCAGGCTGCCTTCCCCAAACCAGCCTTGCTTTCTAAAACAAGGAAGAAATCTGCTAAACCACCAAATCCCTGCATAGTTTGAAAAGTAGACTATATATATATATCTTTATATATGCCTATTTACATATAAATAGATATATATACACATACATGCATCTATAAATTACATTCCAAGGAAAGGTTTCTTTCCTCCTTTCTATCCTTGGCCAACATCTCAAACTGGCTTCTACTGAGAGGTGACAGTGGCTCCTGGGAGGGAGAAGAAAGGCAGTGGCCGCCCCCTCCCCCAGCCCTTCCCACAGACATTTGCTGCACAAGTTTTACATTCTACTTTCGTTGCCATGGTTTCTGTATCCTAGGAGAGAGCGCTGTGGAGCTGGGGCCTTGCCAGCCCTAGGAGGAAAGGAAGCGGCCCGTGGCAGGCCTTCCTGTCTGTCCTAAGAGCCGTCTGCATTTACTGGGTGAGAGACAGGGCAGTTGTGCGGTGTTCGGCCTCCAATTCCACTTTAATGTTTTTTTTGCTTTTTATGTCTTTCTTTAAATATACAGTCCATCACCTTGGCTCAGTGCATGTCACCAAAAATTCTCCAAGGATTTCATAGTCTGGGGAGGAGAAGTAAACTGTTAGCTTGATAATTACAAAGCCCTGTTTAGCTCACATAGGCAAAACTGCTTGCTGGGTCCTGCCCACGTCACCCCTGCCCCAATCCTCCTTCTCCCAACCCTTCTCCTGGAGGCCCTAAGAAATGGCCCCAAAACATGGAGTCTGTGGTTGGATCCGTGCCTTAGGGGACACAGGCAGAGGAGGTGGGCAGGGTACCAATAAAGAGAACTTTTTGGGCTCTGCCCACACTCCTCTGGGATTGGTCCCAGCTGCCCCCTCTGGCAAATACTGGGAACAGAGCCCACCACCCACACAGAGGGGGAAGGAGGTTGGTCGTCTGCTACCAGCAACTTTCATTTTTTCCCCACCCCTAATGTACTGAGCAGCTTGGCATCGACCCTGAACTTGTAACCTTCTGTTCCCTTCCTCAGACCACAGGCGAGATGCTTGGGCGGGGCCGGATGCCTGTGGCTTCCAGTTTGCCAGGTGCTGCAGGCATTCATGAGTGCTCTGGTCCCACCAGAGGGGGGGCAAGCGGGGTGCACAGGCCTTTCCACTTCAGAGCCTGTCGGTTCTCACCCTGCCCATTAGCAGCAGCCTGTTCATCTCACTCCATTTCCTCCTGCCCAGGGGAACAGAGGAAGAGGAAGGGCTCTTGGCCCACCTGCTCCCACATGGTCCTCCCGGATGTCAGGTGGGCAGTCTGTGTGGGCACTATCTTGGGCCCAGTAACATTTGGTGGCCTAAATAGCACAGCACAGACAATAGTCTGCCTGTGTTGATGACTTGATGGCTGGAACAGACAGAGTAACAAACAGCCTTGGCCCCTCACTTTGCCTGGCTCCTGGGCGCCCTGCAGCCCCAGTCAGGGAGGTAGGGTGAGGTGGGGTCGGGGAGGTCACCAGAGGGCTGAAACAGGCTTCAGTTTCCAAGGAGGCCCAGAGCTGCTCATCTCTGGAGACTGGAGGTCAGGCTTGGGACATGAGGCGTGTGCCATAATCACCAGGCCCACCCCCCACCTCACGACCAGGGCCAAAGCTGCCGGGAGCTGCAGGGCAGAGGAGGTCCTGGCTCATACTTGGACCTTGGTGGCGTGGCTGGCCCAGGACTATCCATGCAGGGAGGCCTGCACCTCTGACAGTCGGCTACAGCTCGGGGTGCCCATCTTCTGTGCTTTGTGGTACATATCTGTGTCTCCGAAGTAGCGGGCCCGGTATAGCAAGCCTTCCTCTGCAAAGCAATGAGGCAGGGTCAGAGCACAGCTGGCATACCTCCTCAAGGCCACTGGGAAGCCTGGGCCTGTGGGGGTGGGTGGGAAAGGTTGGTATAGGCCCAGGAGCTGGTGCAGAGCTGGCTTCCCATTAGGGAAGAACCCAGAGGGGCAGAGACCATAGTCTCAACTTGCAAGAGGGACGGAGGCCCCCTTCTATAGACTCTAGGTCAGGTCAGCTAGGTAGATATGTTCCAGTCTGTCTCCACATTCTCATCTCTGGCAGCCAGAATGAATAAGCTAGTGGCAGTGACTTGCAGGAACCTGGGAGAAATGTACAACTGACAGGTGGCTCCCTGGCTCCCAGCCCCAGGGAGATGCAGGAGTGGAGTTAAGGGGGAGCAGGCCTCCCCTGTCCCCCTTCTCACTCACTCTGCTGTTTCTCCTTCCAGCAGTTGTTTCGGAGGTTGGCGATATAATCATCTTCCACGTTCCGTTCAACAGCTTTGAGGCTGGAGCCTGTGTACTCCTCAGAGAAGGTGTCTGCCACGTAGTAGATGACGTTCAGGTGGTCAGTGACTCGCCTGTGGACATGGCCCACTGACCTGGCCAGGAATACAGCAGGCACAAAGTGGGCCCAGGGCCTCAGGCCCAGGGCAGCTTCGGAGGGGGCGGGGCAGGCCAGGAGGTGCCAAGCAGGCCACACAATAGCTAATTCCCTCCCATTCTAGGGCATGCACATGACTCAAAGTGAGGGTCTGGAGAAAGGTAAGGGTGTCCCTCCTTTAAGTGGCCCAGACTATGGCAAGCCCTTCTCTCAGGCTCTTTGCTTACCATACTGTTGACCTCGGGGGTTTTGGGGAGAGAGCTCTCTCTGGGCAGAGGCCTTGGCCAGGGAAGTGGTCTGCCTCTGCTTTTGATGAAATGTGAGCTCCCTGTGGCTCCATTTCCTCCCTCGTCCCCTAAGCTAACAGCTGCTAAGGGACTACCTGCTTATGTAGAAATTTCCAATCTAGAGTTAATGGGCTTAGGAACACCATGACAAGAAGAGTTCTAAGCGGTTGCATCCTCTCAGCTCTTGGATTCTATTGTCTAGCTCCAATCACAGGCTCTGAGGCTGTAAGAGCCTCAGTACCCAGGCAGGAGTCCGTTCAGTGCTCCCAGGAAGAGAGCTCTTGTCCACCCCATAAAAACCCTCTCTCCAGCTCCAGAGGGTGGTGTGGGTTCAATGGTCCAACCCTGCCCCCTGCTGGCTGAGAGACATCCTGCCAGGCTCCCAGAAACAAGCTGAGCACCCACTCTAGATCAGTGCTGGAAATCAGTGAGGGGGGCTGATGCCCTAAACAGTAAAATAACTTACCCAAGCTCACGACTGGCAGTCAAGACCGTATTTTATATGCATTACTCATTAGTTTTCACAAGCAGGTAGATGCTATTATTCCTGTTTCACAGGTGAGGAAACCAAGGCTCAGAGAAGCTAAGTAACTTTTCCAGAATCACACAGCTGCTTATTTAGTGGGGGAGGTAGGATTCAAAGCCACCACTGTCCTATCTGACTCTAGTGCCCCCAATTAGCACTTAAGAACATATTCTTATCTTAGGCTCTGTGATGTGTGTGTTTGTGTCATGAAGCAAAATCGTATGTGTGCAAAACTGTGTGTATGCACACTGTTCTAGGGAAAAGACCTGGAGCTTTTGTTGAATTTTCTTCCTAAAGAGATTAAGACCCTCAGCTCAACTGGGAAAGCATATTTTGTTGATTATAAGCTGGCTTTCTGCATTGTGATCAAGAACCTGCTGGATCAGGATGGGAACTAAGAGGAGGGTCCCACGGGGGCCGAGACTCTGCAGCCCCGTGTCTGTCCACCACCCTGGGCTCCTCTCCTGGCTGCAGGTACTCACGGCCTTGGGCTCAGACTGTAGGGTGGACTGGAAACCATAAGCTGGCTGAGAGCTGACACGAGGATCAGGATGAGGATGGGCATCAGTTGGACAAATACCCCCAGCCCGCCCTGGAGGGAAGAAGCAGCCATCACTCAGCTGGACCCAGAATCGGCCATGTTGCCACTAATTCCCCCCACTATCACAATGGGGCCCAGGTGGCAGGAGTCAGCTGCCACAGGCCATGCCACCACACTCCCCCATTCCCCTGGAGGTCCCATCAACACAGAACCTCCTCTACCTGCCAGCTTCCCCAGATAAAAAAAACCCAGAAACACATCTGGGTTCCATGAAGGTGGGCATCCAAACAGCTATTAGTGAGATAACACCAGAAAACTCAGCAAAAGGGGCCGCCGCCAGGAGAATGGGACTTTTTGATTCTGAGCCACAGGACTATCTTAAAACCAAACCAAACTCACTATTGTTGAGTCGGATCCGACTCATAGCGACCCCTCCTTGGGTTGCTGAGGCAGTATCACTATGGAAGTAGATTGCCCAACCTTCCTTTTGAGGAGCGGTTGGTGGGTCTGAACCACCAGCCTTCTGGTGAGCAGTCAAACGCCTTAGGCACTACGCCACCAGGGCTCCCCGGGACTATCTTACCAAGTTAAGAATTACCTGATAAAAAACTAGAAATGAAAATTAAAATATTACTTCCTGTGTGATAAATTGTGATTAAAATAAAACTTTTCTCTGTGTTAAATGCACACAGAACAAGAATGTTTAAAAAGTGAATATATAAATACAAGGCCACGTTGCCAGAGCAGAAGGGACCCCTCTGTCTGCCAGAAATTTACGTGCTCTGCGATTGTCCACAGTACTTTAATTTTGGCCAGCTAGCTGTTACTCAATCTGTGGTATACATAATGCATTTGAAGCACTGTCTTGCTGGATCTTTTGTACAAGTTTTTTAAGTGCTGAAAAGCAAGAACATCTATGTTGTTATCCTTTGTAATTCTCTCATGAAGTTTAACTTTCTGTTGCTCTATGTCTACTCATTGTGTGGAAAATGTCACTTTGGCCTTATGAACAACCGGACTGCACAAAAGCCATTCACAATCGAGCCCACCTGTTGTTGTTATTTGCCTCGAGTCGGCCCCAACTCATAGCGACCCCTCCTTGGGTTTCCGAGGCAGTATCACTATGGAAGTAGGATTGCCCAACCTTCCTTCCGAGTGGCTGGTGGGTTTGAACCACCAGCCTTCTGGTTAGCAGTCAAGTGCCTTAGGCACTATGCTACCAGAGCTCCTGAGCCCACCTGTAGGTGGGCAAATTTCTGTAGTACATTCCCCCAACAACGGCCATCAAATCTTTATTGTAGCCGGCTGGCAGGCACCGTGGAGTGTGCGCCCTCTGGTGTTACTTAGCAGAACGACAAGGGGGCCAACACAGCTCCTTTGCTGAGAGTTGTGAGGACGCTGCCGGTCCCAGAGTAGACAGCTTGGAAAGTAACTCCCTCTGCCAGGGGCGTGGCACCCTCCCCCTGCTCTCCTGAGCACCTTCCTCACTCACGTCACCCTGGTTCTCCCTGCGGTCCTGCCTTTGCTGGTAGGCATAGCGCATGCGGCCGTTGCTGTAGACGTGGACATTACCTGGGGGTCAGAGGGACTGAGTCAGGAGCTGGGAGTGCTGGGAAAGGGAAAGACAGGCATCCAATCCCCCACCATCACCTCCAGGGAGGGAGTCAGCCTGACCCAGCTGTGGGGAGGTGGGGGCACTTACTAGAAGGGAAGCCACCACCAAAGAACATGTTGAAGAGGTCTTCAGGGGAGATGTCAGCCTCAAAACCACGATGGAAGTCCCCATGTCCATGGCCGTGCCGGGCTGCCTGGCTCTTGTCATCACCAAACTGGTCATACTGCTTCCTTTTCTCAGGGTTGCTGAGGACCGCATAGGCTGTGCCAATGGCTAGAAAGGAGGCAGAAAGGTCAGGTCTGAGGACCTCAGGGGTGCAGGAAGAGGCTCCCAGGGCAGCCAAGCACTCACTTCAGGTACCTGAGTGATTTAGGAAGCAGAGGCCAAGGGGTCAGTGGGTCCCCAAGGTGGCTTTCGGGCAGGGATAGGGATGGGGAGGGGGATGCAGAAATGTCCTGAGCCTGGGCAGCCCGGGCTGGGTGGAGCACCAGTCCTCTGGCTCCTTGCTCTCTACTCCTGAGGATGGTTCAGCCTTTTTGGCATGTGCCAGGCCCCGCATGGGCACTGACTGATTTATTCCTACCAGCAACCCCACCTCCATTTACCAATGAGAAAGGTGAGGCCAGGAATCAAACCAACCCCAGTCTGTCTGGCTTCAGGTTTGCTCTCTGACTTTATGAAAACACAAAAATCCTGTCTTTATTCTTGAGGTGTCCAATGGACGGGGGCATCACTTCTGGATGTTATCATGTGACATACAGGCCAAACAGACACAGATGTCCTGGGTGTAAACTGGAGAGTAGCAGGACCTGCTGAGAGGGGTCCTGCCCTGGAAGCAAGAGCCCTGGGTCCCAGTCAAGATCTCTCCACTGCCAGTTGTGTGGCCTGGGCCAGTCCCCTGCTCCTGGGGGCCCAGGCCCAGCTGCTGTTCTCTGCCTGGCCTGGGCCTTTACCATCAGAGCTCCCTGGGCCCCAAAAGACTTCAGCTCTGGCTCCTCTTCAGTCTTCTGCTCCTTCTCCCCCAGCCGCCCACTTTCTCAAAGGAGTGGATCAAAGCTGAATCTGCTTCAGCACCTGCTGTCCTTGGGAATAACGGGAGCAGAACTTCCTCCTCCCATTCTGGCGAGCCTGCAGGGCCAGATCTGCCCTGTCAGAGCAGGGGCGGCTGCATGTAGGGGTCAGGGATGGAGACACACTGGCCATGGCTACCCGCCCGCCCTCTCCCATTCCTCTTCTCCCTTGGGGTGGCTACCAGGCAGCAGGGGAAGATGCTGTCTGTAGCCTGCCCCAAGCAGGCACCAACCCCAGGCAGCCCGGAATGGAGTTCCCAGGGAAGGCTCCCAGGTGACAACACACTAGGTCCCTGGCATCTTCTTCAGCTCTGGCCTCAGGCTCCCCACCTGGCTGTGGCCCTGGCCCCTGTTCTGCACAGCACAGTGCTCAGGCCAGGTGGGGCCAGTCACCCATGCTCTGTCTCCTAGGGGAGGTGAATCTAGGCCCCAAAAGGGCAAAGTGGGAATGAGTAAAGGCAGAGACATCTGAGGGAGAGGTTGGATGGCAGTGCACAGCCACACAGGGCTGGCACGTAGTTGGTGCACAGGTGAGCCCAACAGGTTAAATGAAAATATAAATGAACAGGAGGCAGCTTATGATGTCAGCCACCACTGAAGTACTTACCCCAGAAGCAATAGGCCCAAGACCAGAGAGACTGCCATGTTCCTACCGCAGGCCCCAAATACGTGAGTATTTAAGGGTGTGTACATGTGTGTAAGTGGTGTGTGGGAGGGGTAGGGAGAAGTTTGCTGTGGTGACTCGTGCTGAGGAGGCCACCAGGCCCAAGGCCCCTGCTTTCAACACAGGAAAGCAGTTACCCACAGGGCCACCTATGAGATTCCAAAACAGTGAATAGCATACAGGTGGGGCAAGAGGTCTTAGTCTAAAAACTGAAAATCATAAAAAAGACCAGGTTTGCTTCTCTGACAGAGCCTGGTGAGACTTCCAAGGCTATGGCCCCTAGTTACCCTTTAGGTCTTGAAGTGAATTCACTCCCATGGCTTCCAGCCAAACAACAGACAGGCATATAGGATGAACATTTACACCAGGTAGATACATTCCTTAGAGTCCTCAATTGTGGGAAAACAGAAGGGCAGTGTTTGCACAGGAAGGCAACTTGGGGGGCAGGGATGAATAGGAAAGAAGGACACAGGGTAGAGATGACTACAGGGAAGAAGTGGGAAGAAAGCTGTCACACTGTGGAGAATTGCAGTCAATGTCATGAAACAAAATGTATATGAGCTGCTGTATGGAAAATGAATTTGCTCTGTGAACTTTGACCCAAATCACAAAAAATTTAAAAAAGAAGAAAAAAAAAAGAGGTCTGGTTTTGCTCCTCTTTCATTGTGCGACCTCAAGACAACTACTGAGGAGAGGGAGTAGGAGCGGCGCTATCTGAGCTCTCATGGACTCTGCACGGCTGGAGGGGGCGACCAGGACCTTCTTCCCAGGAAGCAGTTCCTAAGCCCATGGGTCTTGGACCCAAGGCCACTTCCTTCTGCTCCCCACTTCCTGAGAAAGCTTCTTTCCCCAAAGACAGGTGATAAAAACACGAAAGTAGCAGGAAACAGAGGCTTACCTTTGAAAGCTTCAGTGGCACCAGGCGCATGGTTCTTGTCTGGGTGGAATTTGAGGGCCAGTTTGCGGTAGGCCTTCTTCAGGTCCTCATCTGAGGCCCCTCTGCTCACCCCCAGGATCTCGTAGTAATCTTTACACTGCTTGACCCTGGGGGAGGGAGAAGAGTGTGGCAAGGAGGCTCCACTTGGGCCCAGAGTTGTGTGGTGAGGAGGGTGAGAACATGGTGGGACACACAGCTGAGCAGGCTGTGAGGGGACTGCAGGGCATGGTGGTTCCTCCAGGTCAGCCATCTGACCTCTGGGACAAGGAGCTGCTGTAACCTGTAACTGTGATGCAGAGCCCCATGGAAACATTAAGAATATATCTAGGATTTAAGAGGGGCAGCTGTTGTCTTTGCCAGGTCAGGATCACTTTACCTCTGCCACCAGTACCCTCATCGTATGCAATCTGAGACTTCCAAGGTCCATTAGTCAGGGGGCCCCAGCCTAAGCAGGAGGTGGGATTCAAGCTCACCCAACTATCTTCTCTCCTGGTCACCTGACCTTGAGTGAGTAACACAGGGCAAGAAATGGCAGGTGTCTGTTTACCAGACCATAGGGCCCTGAAGAGACTCCCATGAAGCCTTACTCCCTGGGTCCCTGGACACAGCGGTTATCGGATTTTTCCAGGCCTTCCCAAGGCCCCTCTAAAGTCAGTTTCCATTGCCTATGACTAGAGAACCCCACCAGGTTAAAAAAAAAAAAAAAAAAAGTCTAAATGACCTTTATGCTTATATAGCACATGGGGGCCATGCTGGTCACACGTGGGCTGGGCCATGGACCCTGAAGCTTGCGCCTGTCCTCACCAGCACCCAGGACAATGTGAGAAGGGCAGTGGTGGGATTCCTGAGGCTCACTCAAGGGGACGCTGGGGAGCAACGAGAGCCAGGAGTAGCTACTGTGAAAGCCTGGCGGGCTACTGCAGGCTTGCAGCTCCCACAGGACCACCCACAGCTTGGAGGCAGAGCTCGCCTCCTGCCTCCACTCCGCCCACCCAGGCTCTGGTGTGAAAGGGTCTTTGTTGGGGGTGGGGATCTGAGTTGGGGGAGCATCTGAAGGGGAGACCAGGCCCCATCTCCGCCTGACAAACAGCGTTGTGTAGAGAGGCAAAGAAGCCAGCGGTGTCAGCGTTTTCAGCCTCTGCTTGGGTCGTCTGAGGGAAGGGGGCACAGTGGTGCCGGGGTTCCCACACTGTACCCAGGGCCTCACAGGAAACAAAGTGTGGTCATGGTGAACCTAGACCACTTGGACCTCCTCTGTCCTCCAAGGCCCCCCAAGCCTAGACCACAAGCAGACTGGAGGTGAAGGAGGGGCTGCAGGACGCCTTCTCTGGACCTGATGCTCCCCCCGCCAGCACCAGATCCCTGCCCGCCCGGCCCTCTCACTACCTTTTCACGGCTGCTACTTGTTCTGCAGTGTAGCCTTTGGTGCTCTCTCCACCTCCAGCTTCCCCATTGGCCGACGGGGCGTCGGCCCCACTTGCTTTCCTGTGGGTCGCATGGGTCTTGTCTGTGGGTTGGGGTTGGTCACCAGTGGGCTGTGGTTTCTGGTTGAGGGACTCGATCAGAGCTGTGCAAGGCAAGGAAACCATCAGGGCTCTGCTTCCCCGTTTCCCTTCTCAGCAAAGCCAGGAGCTCTTTCTCTGCCTGAGGGCTGCTAATGGGATACCCCCATTCTCTCAGAAATAAGCCACTAACCCTTCAGGCTGTTTAAATCCCTGAGCAGTGTGTTCAGCAGACTTTCTCCGCTGAGTGCTGGGATGGGCAAAGCACCCTGCATGGGGAAGCCCACTTTGTAGGACCATCTGGTTCAGCTGGGACTGGCTGGAAGGCTGCTGGAGCCCTTCGCCGAGCCGTGGAGAGGAGCGGGGAAATGAATCTGCCCCAGAGGATAAGGGACAGAGCTGAGACTCAGGAAAAATATCTGCTGTGCTTACTGCTTGCTATTTTTACATTTTTCAAATAGCTGGCCATGTCAAAATGTCCTGCTTCAATGTTCAGGGTCTGTAAAGGGCATGAGCTATCACTCGCTGACAGGGTTACAGTTATTCAAATCCTTGGTTCGTGTTAAGTCAATGAGAAGCGTCCAAATCGCTGGCAGGAGTCCCCCGTGTCCATTTATTGTAGGCACAAAATCAGTTTTCAGAAACCCTCAGTTAGGCCTGGGCACAGGGCCATGGGTAGTAAAATCCCAAAGCCCCTGACAGGCTCCCGGGAAACCAGGTCACTGCAGGGACCCAGGGCATCTCCGCTGAGAAGGATGCAGACTGCAGACCTCCTGGGCTCATCCCCTGCTGGGCTTGAGGCATGTGCTGGTGTCAGACACCGTTCTCCAGTGACACACCTGGGTCTCACCCAAGGGGCCTGCACAGGGCTCGCTGGGAGCACAGCACTGGGCTCAGGCGGCCCACTGTGGTCCAGTGAGCCACCTCTGCCTCAGACAAATTTACCGGAAGGGAAATTCAAACACAGGCGCTGGGAGCTGGGCTTGACCAGGCAGGAGGGAGGTGGAGGGAGCCCTGCAGCAAAGCCCAGAAGGGCATTCTGAGAGAAGAGATAACAGTAGCTTTATCTACTGAGTGCTCATTATGTGTCAGGCAGGCACTGTCACAGGGCTTTACAAGTATTAATACATTTCATCTTTCCAACAGTCTCAGGAAGTATGTATTCTTGCCACCATCCCCACCTTAAAGGAGGAACTGTGGTCAAGGCTGAGCCACTTCTTCTAGCCAAGCAACAGACAAGCATATGGGATGAATATTTACATCAGGTAGATACACTCCTTAGAGTGATCAAGATCAATCCTGGGAGAACAGAAGGGCAGTGCTTGCACAGGGAGATGGGTGGGGTAGGGTGGGGGCAGACAGGAATGCATAATAAAGAAGGACACAGTGAAGAGGTAACTACAGGGAGGAAGTAGGGGAGAGCTGTTACATTATGGGGAATAGCAGCCAATGTCATGAAACAAAATGTATATGAACCGCTGAATGGAAAATTAATTTGGTCTGTAAACTTTCACCCAAACCACAATTGGGGGAAAAAAAAAAAAAAAAGACTGAGCCACTTGCTGTTCAGCTGGGGAAGTGGCCAAGCTGACATGTGAACCCCAAGAAGTCCAGCTCCAGGGCCCGTGCTCTTCAGTACGTTGTGCTCCTGGACCACAGGAGATTGAGCCCCTTCCAGCCCAGTCATTTCAAGTACAGAGGGCAAGTTAAGCTCAGAACGACCCATTTTCTAAGCTCACCTCTGCCACTTACTGGCCAGATGACCTTGGATGATCTATGAAATCGTGCTGAACTTCAGTTTCTTCACAATAGTGGTATGAAGATGAAATGAGATTATTTATAGAAGTAACTAGCCCAGGGCCTGACATAGAATGAAAGTGCAAAATGAGTAGTTGATAATGTTTTAACACGGACTGTGAACTGGGTCCACTGGCAGGGGGCTGTCTAGGGAGGTGAGTGCAGGTGGAGTCAGGTAGCCTGGGAGCATCAGGGTTCAGGAAGGCAAAACCTCCACACTCCGCAGGCTCTGGTCCTGGTTGTCACCATGAGATTTCAGGCCATCCCAGACACAGGTCCATGCTGGGCACCAAGGGATGGAAGAAACCAACAGATCAAAGAGATGCTGGTCAACATCTAAATACAACAATGGGTCTCTCCTCATCCAGAGCAAAGAACGAAGAAAATCAAAGATGCATGGAAAAAATTAGTCCAAGCAATTGGTACACCATGCAATCCTCAGCCTATACGACTATGAGACCAGAAGAACTAGATGCCCGGCTAACAATGTCAACCACTTGGAGGGGGATCTATGTAGGAGATCCAAGATTGAGAGGGAGAAAATGTGGAATAAAACTCAAAATCATTTGGGAAAAAAATTTGGAAAAAAAAAATTGCTGGTCTGATAGAGCCTAGTGGACCCACTGAGACTATGGCCCCTAGCTGCCCTTCAGGTCTGGAATTGAACCCACATCTGTGGCTTTCAGCCAAACAAAAGGCTGGCATATGAGGTAAACATTTACACTAGGTCTTGTTTATTATACTCCTGGGAGAGAACAATCATGGGAGAAAGAAGGGCTATTTTTGCATGGGGAGACAGCTCAGGGGGCAGGAGTGCATGGAGGAATGGGCACAGGGAAGGGGTAACTATCGGGAGGAAGTGGGAGGGGAGCTGTTGCACTGTGGGAAACTGTAGTCAATGTCATGAGACAAAGTGTATGTGAACTCTGTATGGAAAGTGAATTTGCTTTGTAAACTTTCACCCAAATCACAATTAAAAAAAAAAAAAAAAGAGATGATGGTCAAGATGGGACAGAGGCACAAACTGGCCTCCTAGGGCTTTTAAAGAAGTTGTCTGTTGCAGTTTTCTCTGGAAGCCCCAGTGGTCCAGGCTAAGTGATCCCTAAGGATAACAAGACCAGCCATCCAACTGACACAGGCATGCAAGGGCATCAGCCAGGAGATGGCGTGGGCTCTCTCCAGTATCTCTCAGGGAAGATTCTGGAAGGTTTACACTCAGTTCATGGAGTAAAGCACTCTAATTTCCCTGCACAGAGAATGCATGTGCTCTGAGTCACAAAGAAGGTCCCTGCTTGAGACAAAAAGGGAAGATTTCTGGTTGCTGGCATGCAGATCTCTTGTGGCCCAGGCACGCCCTCTGCCAGGGCTATGGGATGTGATAGCCTCATCCTGACTCTCATGGCTCAGTGACTGAAAGGCAATGTCTCAAAAGAGCAAGACATAGAACCACTTAATGTGGCTCTGGAGTTAATCCCTGGCTCTGCCCCTTCCTAGCTGTGTGACCTTTGGCAAGTTACTTAACATCTCTGAGACTGATTACTCAGCTATAAAATAGACTAGTGTGGTAGTTAAGGTTCTGTGTCAACTTGGCTGGGCCTGGTTTTGAGTGGCTGGGCAGTGGGATGTAGTATTCCCCATGATGAAACTGGTAATCAACTCCATGGTGCAATCTGCTGTGAAGCAGCTAAGTAGCTGTCTTAGGGATGTGGTCTTCTAGCACATAAGGAGAAGCTTTGAGACCAGTCTCTGAGCTTTTTGGCATGATTGGATCTCATATTTAGCCCAGTCTTCATTCAGCAGCCTGCCATGTTGCCTGTTGATCTTGGGACTGTTTCTGGACTTGAACTAGTGCCCTGCTGTATTGCTTGATAATCTTGGGACTGTGACATTTTACTGCTGACCTTGGGTTTCTTGGCCTCAGCAGCCAGTAGATGCCTGAGTTAAGACATGCCTCCAGTTCCAGTGAGCCAGGAGCAATGGGCAGAGCTGAAGCCCAAAGTGGAGGGGTCTTCACCCAGCCTCTAGAGCTGGTACTTTGATCTCAGACTTCTAGCCTCCTAAACTGTAAGACAATAAATCTCTCTTGAAGTTGTCCACTTGTGGTATGTCTGTCGTAACGGCACTACAGAACCAAAACAAACTACTTTATCTCATTGTATTACTGAGAATACACGAAAGAATGTGCACAAAGCATGGTGCTGATTACTCTGATTACTGTCATCTGTGTCCAAAGTCACAGGGTTATGTCCACACCTGTAACAAGAACTCTAGGATTCTGCTTCTCCAAAGTCCCCAAGGAATCAGCTACCACCTCCTCAACCACCACCCTGACTGTGGGGCAGCTAGCTCTGTGGTCCAAAGGCCAGCTCAGGGTACAGGCTAGCCTTGATGCTTGGCCTCAAACGAAGGGTTAAGAAGCAGGGAGAGGATAGGGTCATGCTCTGCATGCCAGTGGGCAGGTGGGCAACTATCCAATGGCAAGATGGTGGCTACTGAGTCTGAAACCTCAGTGGGTGGAAGGGGCCTGGCCTGGGCAGCAGAGGTTCCTTTTCTCTAGTGGCACAGGGGAACGCTGGGCAAGTTACTCAGCTTCTCCTGCCGTAACTGCATCTCCCTTACCTGGGTGGCACAACTGGTTAACATGCTCAGACGTTAGGCTGGAGGTCTGAGTCCACCCAGAGGTACCTTGGAAGAAAGGCCTAGTGATGGACTTCTGAACAATCAGCCATTGACAGTCCTACAGAGCACAGTTCTACTCTCGCACACATGGGGTCGCCATGAGTTGGAGCTGATTTGACGGCAACTGGTTTTTAATAATGGCTGAAAGAGTAAACGGGTGAATGTATGCAAAAAACTTAGTATACACCCACCGCAATCGAGTCAATTCAAACTCACAGCAACCCCCACAGGGTTTCCAAGGCTGTGAATCTTTATGAAAGCAGACTGTCCCATCTTTCTCCTGTGGAGTGGCTGGTGGGTTCGAACTGCCGACCTTTTGGTTAGGAGCCTGATGCCTTCACCACAACACCACCAGAGCTCCTAGAACTTAGCACATTGCCTAGCAGATATGAAGTGCTCCTCAAGCACTACCTATGATTGCTACTTTTGTTCTCAGGCAGGCTCTCTCGGTGGACCTGCAGAGAGCTCAGAGGGAGTCGGGAAAGGGAAGCGAGAGTAGGGGAAGAACCTGGAACTGGAGAAAGACAGTTCTTGTTCCTTTGCTTATTAACTGGGGGCCTTGTCAAGTTACCTAATTCCTCAGTGAAGA